ATAAACATAAACTGCAACATAAACCAGTTCGTATATTTTGAGATCGTTTTTCATTATTTTCTTCTATTATTTACATTATTTACATGTGAATATTTGTCTTCATCTTAGTTAATATTTCAAAGTTTCGGTAGTTGCCAACTCTCCGTCCATCATTAGATGTTTGTCATTCCCGGTAACCTTCATGGAATTTCGAACTGAGCTCGTTATTTAATCTACAGGTTTAATTGTTCTCGTTCCGCTGGCCACGTCTAGGGATATCTCTAATTCTTATTTAAAACTGCTTAGTTATTTCTATTGTAGCCTAGTGGATTAATGTATTGAACAGTGAATTTTGTGACATAGAATTCAATCCCCGTGGCAGGCAGTGCATACTTGGATTCAGTGAAAATGAGACGAGCAATAACTGAGCTGTACTCGATAAGAACTAGACGAGATATCCCTTGACATGATCAGTGGAACTAGAATAATCTACCTTCGTAGAATAAATATAGACTTCCTTCTGAAATTCTCTAAAGGTTACCTGGACCGACAGACACATGTAGAAGGCCAGAGGGGAAAACGGCCGAAACATTGTAATAATAGCAACAAATATGAAAACAATTGTTCGCAAATAAATAATGTAAATAATATGACTGAACTGAAGAAAATAATGGAAACTATTCGAAAATAACCAAATTCATTTATGTTGCAGTCATAATATTTACTTAACAATGAATTTTTTTTTTCATTTTTCATCTGATAAAGGTCGGAGAGCACCACAAACGGAATGTTGTCATAGTAACACCAAAGCCACAGTGTTTCGACGATAATGATTTTAGTTATTTTCAATCTTAAAATAGACCTACTTACGCTTTATTGTTCAGCTGTTGTAATAAAATATACAAATCCAAGCGAGTTCTAAAAAAAGCAAAAACTGAGATGAAAAGTCAAATTGTTGTTCAGAAACAGATTTTAGTTCCTGTTTTTTGTTGATAAAGCAACGAGAAGCAGGATCTACTACTAGTAATTCCTTGATAAATTATTTTGCTCGGATTGATATTTGAAAGCTCTTAAAAGCCTTAGATTCACTGAAAACAACGTTTTCTCGAATTACATTTTTGTCTTCTTCATTACGTATTATTTAGCTAAAACCGAACTAAATGGAATTAAAAATAATATGCATCATACACAATAGCCTTTCCTTGGACATATTTCACATTTCGGCAGGTTTATTCTCATGTCTTCTTTAAATTAATTACTTTCTCTGAGTTAAGGCCGATTCAACTGGTAATTTGGCTTTTCGTCGAGGTCTAGTTGCTCGGGTCTCTCTGTTTTTTGAGATTGTTGCATGTACATAGGAGGAGGAAGTTCAGATTATGAAGATATGTAGGTTAGACAACGGTTCACCCTAGACTTGAAGAAGCTAGGAATGTAGTGATCAGGGAATCATTCTCTCCGGATTCTGTTCCACAAAGTAAAGGTTTTCGGGAAGAAACTGATCAAGAAAGACTTTCTTCTTACCGATGGAATAAGAAGGAAATGAGAAATGATTCGACATTGTGTATATAGCCTGGTGCGTCCTTAATGTAAAGATCTGAACTGGTGGAAAATAAATCATCGCCCACAAGGCTAATTAAACGCTTTTGAACTCCATCAAGGATTAAGTAGCTTCACTCCAGATTTAGCAGCAATACTCCATTTCTGGTCTGATCTCACTCTTGTAATGATAGAACGTGATAGGGGGAGTTAGGTACTTTCTAGAAAGTTACAAGGAACCGATCATTTTTCCAGCATCTTTAGCGATGGATCGTATATATGAATCTCACTTGAGATTTATGGTGAATTTGAGTCCCAATAGACGTTTAAGTAAAGGAGCATCATTAAGAGTACAAACACTTCTCATGATTTCAGAAAATTCAGGGTCTGCTCGGTGATTAAAAGTTTAAAAATTTGTAGGTATTGAATATTACAAACTAGCCCCCCCCCTTGAGCCGTTATCTGATCATTTAGAGCTCATAAATCGTACACACTGGCATACACACATACACACACACACACACTCATACACGAAAAGACACATGCACGCACACACACACATACACAAAGACAAACACATACGCACACACAGACACACATAAACATACATACACATACTTCTACCTATATTATCATTATAAACGTCATATTTTGGGGGTATACGTGTTTGAATAGACGCCTCTGTTTTTAAAAGTGAAATTAATGTCTACCGATTTAGAAATAGGAAGTCTTTAGAAAGGAATATACCACCCAGCAGGAATTGAATCTATATCCTTTTTTTTAATCTGGGAAGCCGATTTAAAATTTCAATTACTGTCTCGAGAGATATTTTGTTTATTAACATTTTCAATCTCTAGACCGGTACATATTACTTTAACTGTTTAAAAAATAACCATCTCTATTAAAATATGGGTAACCACTAAATATAACGTTTATAGAATAAGAGTTAGTGTCGGATTAAAATCCTTGACTTAAAAATGCATGCGTACACACACACACACACACACACACACACACACAAACACATATATATATATATATATATATATATATATGTTTGCATATATATATATATATATATATATATATATATATATATATATATATATATATATATATATATATATATATATATATATATATATATATATATATATATATAATAACAACAAAAAACCAGCTTGAACAAATCAAATCCACGTGTAACTTCAGAACAATGAACAAATGCCCTTTTAAACAGCAATTGC